GAATAGGATTTCCCAGGACCCATTTTTTCAGGTTATCAAAAGGAGGAGGGGAGGGGCTGGGGATTTAGCTCAGCGGCAAAAGCGCCTGCCTGGCAAGCGCAAGGTCGTGAGTTCGGTTCCCGGTACCGGAGAAAAACCAAAAAAAAAAAAAAAAAAAGGAGGAGGGGAAAAAAAATCCTACTATTTCCCACTTTGGGCTAAATGGCCAATGTCTGAACGAAACATGGATGATTACCTTTCTTATTTCCTGCTGCAACTGAGCCTGGAAATGGCTCTTAAGGTAGGCGGCCTCCTCTTGAAGCTCTTGCAACCGGGGATCTGGCCGATTCTTCTCATCTCGAATGGCTTGTAACTCACCTTTCAGCTCCTCCACCTCACGAGTCAGCTGCTTGGTCTGCAGTTCAAACCCTTCCATCTGATCAGCTGCATATGCCCGCCCTGCCAGGGCTTCTCGGGTCTCTTCTAACCTAAGCTCCAAGTCCTGACGTTGGGTCCTCTCTTCCTGCAGCAATTTCTGGAGCTCACGCAGCATCAAGGCATGGTCACTCTGCTCTTGGGCCCGATCATGCTGTTGCGTGATAAGCCGGGCTTTGGTTTCCGCTATTTGCTCCTGCAGCCCCTTCACTTCTCCCTCTAGGCGGCCCCTCTCTTCCTCGGCCTTTTTATTGGCCTCCTCTAAGTCCTGTTTCATCTTCTTCTTGTCAGCCAGGTAGGAAGCCTCCATGCGGGACTTTTCCTGTGTGACGGTAGCCAAAGAGCTTGTCAAAGTAGCCAACTGGGTCTTCAGCTGGTGCAGTCTTTTGTCCACCTCACCACCTGCAAATGATCCATCCCCACTGCTACTGCTGACGCCACTCTCCGACCCACTAGCCTCTTCAGACTTCGGAGGTGGTGGTCCACGGGCCAGTCTGTCATCCTCTACACCAAGCTCACCCTTGATGCTGGTGAGACTGGCGGCGGTATCCAAGCTAGTGGCGGTCCCAGTGCTATCCTCGCTGTGAGTGGAGCAGTGGTCATCCACTGAATCAGAAAAGGTGAGACCTGAAGGCTGGACACCCGCGAGGCCCACATCCGCCTCGTGCGATACCGACAGCACCTTGATGCTGGCCTCCAGAGCCTCCTTCTCCTTAAGCAAACTTTTGTAGGCCCGGACCACATCCTTGAGCCGAGCCTGGTACTGGACAAGCTGCTTCTTCTGCGTCTCTATGGTCTCCAGCAGGTCTTTCTTGCTCGGGCCGCCGCCAAAATTCATCCCAAACTTCTCCATGGAGAATCCACGCGGGCTCCTCTACGTCAGAGTTTTGGCAGCCCAGGAGAGGTCAGCGGCAGAAGCGACCGTCTGGAAGCAACGCGGAGACCTGTCCGGCCGCAGACCACACAACCGCTGCACCCTACGGTCAGAGACCGGATACAGGGCGGGTGACAGCCTGGCAGAAACGCCTCCGGGCCCCAGGCCCAGAGCGGAGAGCCAGTCCTACCCTGGAGGCGGGGCGACGCCGGCAGGAGAAAAGCACACAGCCAAGATTCGCCCGCACTGGTCCACAAGCGGCTCCACCCTCTCCGGCCCCAGCAAGCCGGGCCGGCCCCCTCGGCCCACAGTCGGCCGAGGGTTTACCCTGAACTCTGTCCCATCACTACTTCCTAACTACCGCGGGCGCCTACGAGGCGCTTCCGGGTCCGCTGGAAGTGACGACAGCGCGACGCCGCAGGCCCCGCCCCAGGGAGCGTGTGGGCGGGGCTCCTTCCATGGCGGGTGGAGGCGGCTTGTAGAGAGTATCGTGGGGCTTCCCGCTGTAAGCAACCACTGTAGGGACGAGTGGAGCCCGGCTGTTTTGTGCACTGAGTGCTGCTTTGGCAAGCTAGCTCTCAGGCTGCATCAGCGTGCGCCGGGCGGCCACGTTGCACTGTGTTCCTCGCAAACATCCGGGTGAGACGTGTCCAATTGTTTGAGAGTCAAGACCTACGTCCCTAAAGGACGATGGTTAAGACTCCTACTTAGACCAAGGAAAAGTGCCGCCCTTTTGAGCACTACGCTTGGCACCTCGTTGGCGTTATAGCATTATAGTTGGTTCCCCTTTTCGGTTCTGCTGAGTAGCTTCAACAGTTACAGAAAGCAGTGGATACCCACGAGTTCCATCCTCAAGGCCAGCTATATGCCAGAAGCCTCAAGTTCAGCTGGTCTTTACAAAATTCTGTTCAGAGATATCATTAGCGCTGTTTTACAGATGTGGGAACAAAAGTCACAGGGAAGTTAAGTGCCGAAGGTCACACAACTAGTAATTCTAAGTGCAGTCTGACTTTCAATATACTAAGTAAGAAATATGCAGTTGATACGACCATGAAGAGACATGGCTTTGACCGCAAAGAGCTCACAATGTAGTAAGAAATCAGACAGGCAAAAAAAAAAAAAAAAGAAAAAGCTCCCATTATCATACCAGTATGTATGGGTATATTCAAAGTGGTATGGAAAAGGAGGGAAGCCTGTCTAGGGAAGGCACAGGACCTCAGGGAAAATACTTTTGGGATTTTGAAGGACAGTAATGATTGCCTGTCTAGAGATAAAGGAAGTCAGCATTCCAGGCAAGTGGAAGAGATTGCAAAGGACTTCTAGGTATCCAAGAGCCTGACTCATCCAGGAAGCATAAGAATAATCTCAAGGCAGTGTCTTAGGTTACAGCAAGAAGTTGACAATAGATGGGCCTACCACAATAGGTAGGACCCGACTTAAGCATTTAAATTTTATCTTGGGTGACAGAAACTAAAGGATTTTAACTTCAAGGGGTGGGGGTATCATCAAGACTTGTATGGCATCATGGAGATACCTAAGGGCAGGAGACCTGCGAAGAGTCTTTCAGTTATAGAAAGAGATGATCGTGACATAGGGTAGTGACAACAGGGGTGGAGAAAGAGCTGGTAAGAGCTTAAATGGTGACTGCTAGCTCTGTGAGTATATTGGGAATCTTTTAAATGTATTCTTCAACCTTGTAGAAGCCTTAAGAAAGTAAATCTGTGACCAAGGAGTAAGTCACACCAGGATCCAAATGTCTGTGCCATTACAGACTGCTGGACAGGATGGACTAGGCTCTGAAGTTCTATTCAGACCAAGTTTCCTAGCAGCCCAGCTAACATCCAGATGTGTTATACGAAACATTTACTGGCATTATCTTATCTTTTTAATCTTTACTATAACCCTGGAGTTAGGACAAGTGTAAGTTTTCTTTTATAAATGAAAAAATGAAGGTTTGTGGAGATTGTTGACGCCAGATCCTAAAATTAAAAAAAAAAAAAAAAGGAAGAACTGATATTTAACTTAAGGCCTAAAACAGGGCTGACACATTTACTGAGTAAAGGCTTTTAAATGCCCAGCTCAGCTCACCTCCATAATTACTCCATAAGTAACTAATGGGAGAAGTCCACCTGGAATCCAGAATAGACCTGTCCTAACTCCACTTCAGTCCTGTTCAAGCCAACATGCATTTGTTAAGCTGCATGAGATGCCTGACATCAACTCACCCACTCTCCACCATAAAAGAAGTGTAGATTAATTCCCATCTAACTACTCTCCTCCAAAGCTAAAATGACAGAGATTACTTGGGAAGCTCTGTAGATCTAAGAAGACAAAACCCTCAGAAAATCTTGGGTAGGTGTGCATTAATAATCCAGATCTTATTCCAGAAAGAATGGCTATCATCAAGAACTCAAATAATACCGCTGGTGAAGACTTCAAGGAAAAGGGAACCCTTCTACAGTGTGGTAGGAATCTAAACGAGTGCAACCACTATGGAAATCAATATGGAGACTCCTCAAAAAACTAAAACTAGAAATTACATTTGACTCAGCTATTCCTTTTCTAGGTATCTTCCCGAAAGTTAAAGACATCGTATTACAGAGATACACGCATACTCATGTTTCTAGCAGCACAATTCATAACAGCTAAAGCTTAGAAGCAGCCTGTATGTCTAGCAACAGATGAACGGGTAAAGAAAATGCGGTATTTATTACCATGGAGTACTACTCTACCATAAAGTAGGGGAAAAAAAGGCACAGTTCTTTTTAGGTACCTAGGTGTATCTTGAGACCATAATATTAAGTGTAATAAATCAGACACACAAACTTAAATATCACATATCTCTCATATGAGAAGCCAAAAATATAAGGAGCGAAATAAAAGATAATAGGGAGATCTTTTGCAAGTGGAAAGGGGACCAAGGGATGGAGGGGAAGGGAGAAAGACAGGGGCTGAAAAAATTGAGACGTGTTACGTACATGTACCAACTCCACAGAAGGAATGTAATCATTATGAACAGCACACATGTACTAATAATAAAAATTGAAAAACAAATCCAGATCTGCAAGTCTGTGACAAAGAAGGAACTTTAGAAAAGCTGCCCGGCCGGAAACCAACAGGCATCGTTCCTAGGGAGATGGAGACGGAGGCAGAGTTCTCCAGGAGCCCAGGAGTGAGTCAGCGACCTCTCTGTTCGCGGCTGGGCGTCCTCGCGCTGGTTCTGCTGACCGGGGTTTGAAAGGGGCGTTTTAGGTAACTAAGGGAGCCAGCCTGGTTCCCCGAGCGTCTTCCCCTCCCCAGAGCGATCTCCATCGACTGCGCGCAGAGTCCTCAGGGGGACCCCTGCAGGCAGCTTCCGCTCCCCTAAACTGGGTGCTGCGCACAGTCGGTGCTGCAGTTCCCGGATCTAAACCTGAGCCCAGCGTGGGTGGACCCAACAACTCAAGGACCAGAGGCCACCACCGAGGACAGACAGGGCGGGAGGCCGCCGTGGAGCGACAGAGCTCAGTCCTCCTTGGCTCCGGCTCAGCGGTCACAGGCCTCACCGGCTCGCCAGACGCGCAGGGTGCCTGCACCGGAGCCCTCGCAGGCCGCGCGCCCCGGCCGCCTGCGGCGCCGCGCTCCGCTTCAGTTTGCCCCGCACCCGAGCCGGGGGCGGGGCCGCGTGACGTCGGCGGCCCGGACGCGCGGAGGCGGCGGCCGCACCGGCACCTCCCCCTTCTCTGCTGCGTCCCATCCCCCAGCGGCCGGCCCGTTCCAGCCCGCACCCCGCGTCCGTGCCCGCGCCCCCGCCCTCGGGCCCCGCCATGGGCCTCACGGTGTCCGCGCTGTTTTCGCGGATCTTCGGGAAGAAGCAGATGCGGATCCTCATGGGTGAGGCAGAGCGAGCGCGCGGCCCGTAGTGGGCCGCCGGCCCCGGCGCAGCCCTTCCGCCCCCGCGTCCTCCCGCCCCGCTCACCTGGCTCTCGGACCCCGGTTGCCCACCTCCTCGCCGCGGGGCCCCGCTCCCCCGAGGGCCCGGGTCTGCGGCGCAGTCCCGGGCCTGAGACCTGGAGCTGCGGGCCTGGGCGGGGTGCGCTCCCTCCGCCCAAGCCCGGCCGCCTGGAAGGGAGGATTCCGCCCTTGGAGATGACTTTTGAAAGGAGCGCGGCCCCCCTCCCGTGCCCTTCGCCTCGCAGGCCTCTCTCGCCCCTCACCCGCCTTGGGCATAGGAGTTGGCACCGCCGTGCCCGCGCCCCCCAGGTCCCGAAGGTGGAGGACAGCGCGCACCTGAAGGCTCTGGGCTCTCCGCCCCTCGCCCGGCCGGCCTGGCCTCTCCCTTCCCCTGGTCTCCAGGGGGCTCCCTCGCTCGCGTCTCCATTCCTGTGCCCCTCTCCTTGCAGTTGGCTTGGATGCGGCCGGCAAGACTACGATCCTCTACAAACTGAAGTTGGGGGAGATTGTCACCACCATCCCCACCATAGGTGAGCCCTGGGGGAAGCAGGGAAGAGCGGAAGCGCCGCCGCGGGCCTTTTCGGTCCGGGTCTGCAACCAGTTCTGCCCAGGCCCTTATCAGGAGCTGACCGTGACACCAGATACCGCTGCTGGTGAAGTGGGTCACGGTATCTCTTCGTGCGGGTGGCGCCGGAGGCGGGGTGGAGGTGGCCTAACCCCATCTGTTGGTCGCTGATCACCCTGGATTCCACTTCCTCACCCTTCTGGTTTTGTGCCCCTGCTGAGATCCAGAGTTTTAGTAAGTTTTTTCCTTTAAGGACTTTTTCTCATATTTTTCCCCCAAATTATCTGCAGGCTTCAATGTGGAGACAGTGGAATATAAAAACATCTGTTTCACAGTCTGGGATGTGGGAGGCCAGGACAAGATTCGGCCTCTCTGGCGGCACTACTTCCAGAACACTCAGGTGAAGTGTGAGGCGGACTCCTCAGCTCCAGGGAAGAGGTGATAGGGCTAGAAAGACAGAGCCGTTGGCCTGGGAACCCCCTCCTGCCTCTTCCCTGCTTGGCTTGGCTAGCCTTTGCGCAGCCTTCAAAACTCACCTTAGTCTAGTTGAGCGTCCTAGCCACCTTGGAGGTCTCCTGGGAAGCAGTGTTCTGAGGACACATTGCCTGATGGAGCTCTCAAGTCTCTTTCCCTGGCCTTTTGTGTGTCTATTAGGTAGCTTGCTTCTTGGAGAGCAGAGGCTGTGTCCTTTGCAATGGTGTCCCTAGTTTCCACGGAGCCTTCAAGGAAGGTTGCTAAATAAGGAGGGCTGTCACCACTGAAGATAAGAGAGGAGAGAAAGCGCAAGGTTAGGGTAGTGCCTGGATGGGAGTGATTGCCTCTTCTTCCCCTCTTCTTTCCACCCAGGGCCTCATCTTTGTGGTGGACAGTAATGACCGCGAGCGGGTCCAGGAGTCTGCTGATGAACTCCAGAAGATGGTGGGTACCCAGATCCTTCAGAGTGAGCCCCTGGGGTGGAGTCAGGAGATCTCTGTGGTGGTGCGGGACTCAGGAAAGTCCCCACCGGAATGGAAGGTGGGGAATGTGGATTTCCTAGTGGACACAAGACACTTGGTGTTTCTCGCCGTTTGGAATAGGACTGGCTTTTTCCACGAGTTCTTATGCCTTTACATCGAAGTCTGAAAAGTTGGCAGGGAGAGGGGAATTACATGTGGTAGAAAGAAAGGACACTTCATATACTTGCTTTTTCTACTTAGAAATTTTGTCATCTTGCCTAGAGCAGGTTCTCAAATTTGAAGATTGTTTCTAAACTTTTAGGTTTAAGTCAGTGATGGTGAACCTTTCAGAGCTTTCAGTGGTAACAAACTGCCTGCTGCTGCACGTGTGCAGTAGGTTCGCCACCACTGGCTGAGGTGGCCTCCAGCTCACTGAAACTCTTTGTCTCGTGTTCAGCAATAGATTACATGATACTGTATTTTTCCTAGAAAGAAAATAGAAAGGGAGGCTCCTCAATACAGCATCTAAGAGGGAGCCTGGGGAACCCACGCATCCAGTTTCCACCCTCTCATTCCCTCTCAGCTCCAGGAGGACGAGCTTCGAGATGCGGTGCTGCTAGTATTTGCCAACAAGCAGGACATGCCCAACGCCATGCCCGTGAGCGAGCTGACCGACAAGCTGGGGCTACAGCACTTGCGCAGCCGCACGGTGAGGATCCTGCCCTTTCACAGTGGGTCCTGTCTATCCTAGGAGAGCCACAAAGTGGGGCAAACATAAAGACACCCCCTTTCTCCCTGCTGCTGATCTCCTTTTTTTGTTTTCTTCCTACAGTGGTACGTCCAGGCCACCTGTGCAACTCAAGGCACAGGCCTGTATGATGGGCTGGACTGGCTGTCCCATGAGCTGTCAAAGCGCTAACTAGCCAGGGGCAGGCCCCTGCTGCCCAGAAGCTCCTGCGTGCATCCCGGGGATGACAAGACTCCCGGACTCCTCAGGCAGTGCCCTTGCCTCCTCTACTCTTCCTCCCCACAGACAGGCCTCTGCTCCTGCTCCTGCCTGCATGTTTTCTCTGTCGTTCGAGCCCGGAGCCCTGCTCTCTGGGCACAGAGGGGTCCACCCTCCTGCCTGCTGGGACCTGTGGAAGGGCTTCCTGGCCAAGGCCCCTTTTTCCAGAAGAGGAGCAGGGATCTGGGTTTACTTTTGTTCTTTTCTGTTTTGGCTGTATCCTTGGGGCCAGGTTTGGGGGGGAAAGTGAGGGCTGTGGGTGGTGCTATGATGTGAAACTGGATATTGAGTAATAAATTTGCTGTGGTTTGTACTTGGTGTTGTCTGTGGGCTAGTAGCCGGAGGTTGGATTTATGGGGTGCTCAGAGACAACAGGGAGAGGGTTAAAGCAGCTGAGGCTGCAGGACCAACATACATGTGCATACACCCTCATCTAGTCCAGCTCCTCTTTTTATTCTTAAGCTAGAAATACTGGGGGGCAGTAGGGAGGGGTTCTGTTGCTATTTCCTAGGAACGTAAGCAAAGGATAACAGGATATAGTCTCATGGTTCCATGAACAGTACAACTATTTTCATCCTAGCTACATAAAGTAATGATTCTTCATCATTTTGTTTGCAAAGGGGAAGGGCTATGCATTAAAAATATGGATCCTGGGCACATTGCACAGAATGATTCTTCGGAACTAGTCTGAGGCCCAATGATAGGCATCTTTAGAACTTCCCAAATGAGCTGGCACTAGTCAGAATCCTACAGTTTTGTTTTACAAAACCCTAGTGGAGCCAGAGGATTACTATTTTTTACTGGGCACCACTAGGACTCTCTCTACCTAGGAGGACCCCATCTACAGAGAATCAGAAAGTGTATGTAAGGAACCAGGACTAAGGGTTAATTGTCCATTTCCCTTAGCCTCCCAGCAAAGGTGAAATAAGACCCTTATTTCATCATCATCATTTCGTTTCGTCTTCTTTACCCTGTTACTTCATGTTTTTGGCCTAGGTTTTCTCTTTATGCCTTATAGGCAGTGTCCCAAAGGCCACTGGACAGTAGAGCTTCATTGGAGGGGAAAGGCTGGTATCCTGGAAAACAGCTCCAACTCTCCAACTAGCCAGCTGACCTCTCCACTAGCAGTACAGCCAGGTGCTCCCTCCACCCAAGCCATTCTCAACATGGTCCTGAGCCAGCCCTTTCCAATTAGTATGAGTCATTTCATTCTTGCTGGTTATCTAGGGTTTCCTCACACTCCTTGCAAAATACTTCTGAGACATTCTGGCCTCATTTTCTCAAGGGCCTAAAAGCTGATTGATTTTTCTTGGATATCTTGAGTTGAAAAAAATACTTGTGCCACAAGAGAGCCAGGGAGAATCCATTTCCCTGAGAGGAAATAGGTTGATTTCTATCCTATTAATGAGAAACAGGCAAAAGAAAAAAAGGGGGCGAGGAGACAGGGCTAGTCACAGGCTGGCGTTCTGATTCCTAGTCTTAGCCCAGCTTACCTTGTTGCCTGGAGTGACATGCGGAGGTAAATGATAGGGGATCTGGGCACACTTCCTGTGGGCCATGCACTGATGTTGCTGTACTGTGGTGGGATAAAAGGTGGCTCTCTCAGTCACAATGCTCACGGGTCACAGAGGTGCTTGCCCCTAGGCCAGCCTCTGCCTGGGATGTTCCCTGTGGGAACATCATCTGGTGGGTACTACAGGCTTTATTCTGGGCCCTATGGCCTGTGGGGCCTCACCAGTGGGGGGAAGGCTGGGTGGGACAGAATCATCACCTGTGGCACCGGTTCCATGGATGAGGTGGAGTGGATGCACAGACACCCAAAGGCTGAGGACCTAAGAATTGGGCTCATCAGCTGGGCAGGAACCTACCTCACCTTTGAAGCATATAAGAATACAGTCACAGCTAATGCAAAGAGTTTGGGCAGGAGACAGGTAACAAGCAAACCCGTATGGAACCAGCTTCCTGAGTGTGTGGTGTGTGTGGCAGTGGGGCATACTCAAACTGATGGCTTTCCTTGCCCATACCATTGCCAAGCCCAGATGCTTCTACTTCAGTTTTCTAAACTTATCCGCCAAGGTGGAACCTCAGCCCTAAGCTGGTTTCACTCTGTTCAGGCTCCCTACACTCCATGCAAAGATGGGGCAGTTGTGTCATCACAAAGAGGAAAGGTGCAGTTGGAAGGCACAACTGGGGCATCCAGGGAAAGTTGAACCTACTGGACCATAGTACAAGGGCCTATGTTTCTGTTCTGATAATAGTTTGAGAATGGAGTATTCTACAAGCCTTGCAAACTTGTATCTCTGGAATGGATGCCCAAGTGAGACAGAAGCAAAGTCCTCCTCCTTATAACAAAATTGATTACAGCAAACTAGACACTGACATCGCAATAGTCTGCTCCTATCTTCGTCCCTGCAGGCAGGCCTGCTTTTAAAAGCTCTTGCTTTTCTCCTGCTCTGTTGGGAAGAAAGCCTCTGGGGATGGAGGTACTGGCTGAGTGTGCTGTCCAGAGGCAAGTGAGGACATAAGTCAAATTTAAACCAAAGTTTTTCTTGAAGCTTTTCTTGGAAAATTAGATCTTGAAGGACGGGATCAAGAAAAGTAGAAAGGTTTATGTTTTTGTTAGCTGGGGAACATGGGCAGCTAGAAGTTTTTTTTGGATCTTGAGGAGCCCTGTGGCTCCAACGGTGGAGCACCCTAGAGATCTTTTCATTACTGTCAGTTGGGAAGGTAGACAAGCTGATAGCAAAGGAAATGCCAGGGCACATGAAGATGGGAAGATGGCGGGTCTTGTTGAAGGTGCTGGGACGGTGGTTGTAGGTTTCCTCAGCCTAGTCTCTTGGCTACACCTATTTCCCTGTTTTCCCTCCTGATCTTCCAGATCTGGGATCTCCTGGTGAGCAATGAGCAGGAGACACAGGCCGTAGTAAGACTAAAGAGCTTGAAAGGCCTCTACCTTCTATGTGAGGGGGATGGCTCTGTGTGCCATGGCCAGCCAAGGACCAGTCACCATGGATGCTTCCTACTCCGATTCCACCGGAATGGCAAATGGACCCTCCAGTGCATAATTTCTGGTCGTTATCTAGAGTCCGATGGCGAGGATGTGTTCTGCAACTCCCGAGTCCTCTCGGCTTACCACATGTGGACCCCCCGGCCAGCCCTACATGTCCACGTGACCCTCTATAGCCCCATCTACCGAACCTATGCCCGGGCTGACCATGGTGTGGGCCGCGTCTGGGTGGACGCAGCAGTGCCTTGTGTGGAGGAATGTGGCTTCCTGTTGCATTTCCAAGATGGATGCTATCACCTGGAGACCTCTACACACCACTTCTTGTCCCACGTAGATCGGCTGGTCTCCAAGCTCTCACCACAGACAGCTTTTCACATGCAAGTGAGGCCCAGGGGGCTCGTGGCACTGTGTGATGGAGAAGGAGGCACCTTATATCCTCAGGGTTCACACCTGCTCCTGGGCCTAGGCTCCAGCCCCACGAGGGGTGCAGAGTGGTTCGTCCTGCGACACTTCCCTACCTGGGTCAGCCTCAGGTCAAAGGCTCGGAAGTTCATCTCAGTCGTCTATGGCAAGTCCTGGGTCAACATCCCCATGAAGGGAGGAAAGGCTGGCTACTAGAGAGAGGAAATTGTGCCTGAAATTAGCAAGGGTGTTTTTGTTTTTGTTTTGGGGGAAAGGGGCTGGCCTTGAACTCACTGTGTAGCCTAGGTCAGTCTTGAACTCATCATCTTCCTGCCTCAGCCTCCTGAGTGCTGGGATTACAGGTGTGTGCCACCATCCCCGGCTAGCAAGGGTTTTTTAACCTGCTCCTGAGGAAGATCCTAGAGTCCCAGGGGGATCTCTTGTGCAGGAGAGGAGAGATAAGCAGGAATAGGCGCTGCAGTCGAAAGTGACCCTGGTCTTCTGCAAACTACTGCGGCCCCACGATGAAGGCTGAAGAGGGAAAAGAGAGAGAAGCCCAGCAATAAAGCATGGAGCAGGGGCTGGGAAGCAAGGTGAGGTCAGACTGGAGTTCCGCTGACAGATGTTTTCTCTACAGGTGCTGAGGTACGTGCTACCTCTGAATGCCTGACACCAATGTGCTTGTTCCAGTTTGAGTGTGACAGCGAGAGTCCCACTTTGCAGCTTCGTTCCAACAATGGGTGCTACCTAGCCCAGGTAAGACTTGGGTCTCAGAACAAGAAACCACAAACTCTGAGCTCTCCTTTCTAGACACATCCTTCTCCTTCTCCAAGACAGAGGAGCAGACGGAGCGGTGAGGTGTCAAGGCCTTTGTCAACGTAAACATTCATTTTCCCCAAAGGAGCCTCATTTTAAAAATCAACTTTATTGAGGCATACATTGAATATATACTTTCTATAAAATACATATATATATGTGTGTGTGTATAGTATACAAATATATTTTGTAAACTGCTTATGTTTATCATAGGAATAAAATGCCCCCACTTTAAATGTAAAATACAGCAGATTTAACAAATGTGTGTGCCCATGAAACCACACCACAAGCATAAAAGTTAGAGAATATTTCCTCTACCAGAAAAATTCCCTCCTGAGCCCTTACAATCAGTTTCTCTCCCCTCTTGATCATTCCTCACCGTCTTCCTTGCACATCACCCATCTGTGTTCTGCTACTAGGGATTACAATTTCAGGTAAATAGACTCTTGTGGTATGTACAGTATATATACTTTTTTGTGTGTATGTTAAGTTTTATCTACAATGTTTTATATGTATATATATATATGTCTTCCTTTTTACTACTGAGTATATTCTCTAATATAATTCATAAACATAAACATAACTTTTTATCCATCCACTTATTGACGAACATTTGTGATGTTTCCACTTCGGGGTATTAAAAGTAAAGTTGTTATGAACATATTTGTATAAGTCTTTTAGTGAATCTATATCTTCATTTATCTTGGCTAAATACCTAATGGTAGAATTACTAAATTGTACAATAAATAGGTGCTGAATTTCATAAGAAAATGTGAAGCAGTTTTCTAAAGTAACTATACCATTTTATATTTTTGCCAGTAATGTCTGAGGGTTTCAACTGCTCTATGTCTCACCAACACTTGTATTGTCTTTTTCATTAGAGTCAGTTTAATGGGTATATAATGCCTTCTTACTAAGGCTTTTAGTTGCCTTTGGATTATAATTTCTCATTTGAAATATCTCTTTATGTGTTTATTGGTCACTTGTACATCTCTGTTAGGTGTCTGTTCAAATCTTTGCCCATTTCTTATTGGGTTGTTTTATTAATGAGTTGTAAGAGATCTTTATATGTTCAAATTCATGTCCTT